AGCCATCACCAGCGGGGCACGGAGGTCCAGGGGCCACATGTAAAAATGTTCCCAGTCCCCTTCTCCTGCTGGGGTCGCACCGTGCCTGGCTGTGGTCACCAAGAGCTCGGAGGCTGATGCCCCTGATGGGTGCTGGATGCCCTCCGCCCGCCGCAGATGGAGAACGTGATCCCAGGGGGACTGGGAGTGGATGGGCGTGGGGCGTTCACCAGCCGCGTGGTATCCAGATCCGCCCGCGGGCATTCGCGCCCGTTGTCGGGCGCCACCTGGTGGCTTTTCCATGTACTTCCCCCGGAGTGCCATCGCGGGCATTTGCACCAGGTGTCAGGCGCCGCCTGGTGGACTTCCCATGTATTTTCCCCAGAGGTTCCATCGTGGCTGTTCGCGCTGGGTGTCGGGCGCCGCCTGGTGGACATTTCCATGTACTTTCCCCCGCGGCTCCGTTCCCAGGACGGGGACACCCACCGTCGCTTCCATGCACAGTCTTGTCACTGCGAGGGGGCCAGAGTTTGTCTCTCCTGAAAATTTAGGAGCTCCTAAAAGCCTACACCCTGAATCTCCTTCCAGTGAGACCTGTTAAAAGGTGTAGGCTTTTCAGGACGGAGATGAAATGGGTGTCTCAGGCAAAATGGTCCCGGCGAGCAGATATTTGGGGAGGTGACAGGTTCTGGGACCGCCCTCTGTACCTCTGCGGGACTTTCCCGAGCGGCTTTGGCTGGGAAGAGGGCCGGGGAGGCAGGAGGCCGAGTGTGGGTCCTGGCAGACAGTGAACTGCAGGATGCACAGACTGAACCACGGGGCACTGACTAAAGAAGCTGTGCAGGACCCGAGATCGAGACCAGTTAACACGCCAGACCTTCCTCACTGCTAACGCGCCAGCCCGATGATGACAGAGCGGGTCTATCACTCCTCACTCATTTCTTTCTCCCCCCACCACCGCCCCGTTTTTGTTTTTTGTTTTGTTTTGTTTTTGGGTTTGTTTTTTGGTTTTTGGTTTTTTTTTGTTGTTGTTTTTTGTTTTTTTTTTTTTGAGACAGGATTTTGCTTTGCTGCCCAGGCTGGAGTGCAGCCTCGGCCCCCTGGGCTCAGGTGATCCTGCTCAGGTCTCGCTATGTTGCCCAGCCTGGTCACAAACTCCTGGGCTGAAGGAATCCTCCCATCTCGGCTTCTTAAAGCACTGGGATTATAGATGCAGCCACCACGCTCGGCCTCTGCACCCATTTCTTTCACAGTCCTCGGACCATGTGAGGTGGTCAGGGATGGCAGGCCCAGGCCTCCTGGTTCTGGTTAGCACAGCAGGGTACTGCCCGGCTGGCTCGCTGTCCCTGAAAGGAGGATGCAAGATGCAAGGTGCAGAGTGGTGGCCTGCTGGTGGGAGGTGGAGGGCCCGTGGGCAGGGACCCGTCTGTGTAGGCTAGCTGGCTGCGCCCCAGGGGTCTGGAAAGACCAGTGTGGTGGGAGACAGCTGCACCTGCGAGAGCTGGGAGGTCAGCTGCAGCCAGGAGCACCTGGGCCCAGGTTCCTCGCCAAGGCCTGCCAGGTCCCCTGAAGTGCCCTCCCTGCTGAACACACGCAGGCTCCTCTGCTCTCCCAAGCAAAGTGGGGTCGGGTCAGGAGAGGACACAGATGGAAGAGCACTTGGAAATGTGGGTCCTATAGGTTTCTTCTCGTCCATGGCAGCCAGAGTGCGCTCTCTCTCTTCCTGCAGTAGAACTCAGCACGGAGCTCTCCAGGGACCTGCAGGCTGCCCCTCCACCCTAGCCTCAAGGTCCTTCCCTCCACAGATGCAGCTGGGGGCCAAGCCCCTGACCTGTGCAGTTGCACTTCCTTGGGACGATGAGCAGCTTCCAGAAAAAGTCCTCAGGTCCACACTGAAAGGGGAGAATGAATGAAGACACGCCACAGGGGCCAACCACACTTGCAGCAGGGTTCCAGCATGACAGCAGCAGAAAGGATACAGGAGACGTTGACGCCACGTCCTGGAGACCCTCCAGGGACTGCCAAGCCCTGAGCCTAGCCCTCCTTTTCTGCCCCAGCTCAAGGACAGTTACTGTGCCAGCAGTGAGGTTGCCTTTGTCACACTCATCCCCGCTATTACCATGAAACACTGAGGTCTCCTGTCTCAGCCTCCCGAGTAGCTGGGATTACAGCTGTGCGCCACTAACACCCAGCTAATTTTTTATTATTATTCTTTTTAGTATAGATGGGGTTTTACCATGTTAACAAGGCTGGTCTCGAACTCCTGACCTCAAATGATCCATCTGCCTTGGCCTCCCAAAGTGCTGGAATTACAGGCATAAGCCGCCGCACCTGGCTGACATATAAATATTTTATAGGAATCCCCACGTGGTATTAGCTAGTTAACAAGACAGTTTTGTGATGGTGTTATACCCCAGCGAGTTAAGGAATGCGCCACACTTTGAGATTGAATTATGAGTTTTTTTTATTATGCTGGCAACTGAGAGGTGGCTAATGCCCCAACTTTTTTTGACCCCGAAGAAAGAGTTAAGGAGTTTTTATACCCTAGTTTGAAAGGGGAAGGGGGAACCCAGCTGAAGCAATTTTTCACAGAGGCAGAGGAAGCAAAAAGTTTAAAAGATAAACTAAAACATGAGAAATAAAACAGTACCAGGTGCGAGGGCTAGAGCCGTTATAAAAAGATATACGACTTTTAAATACGGGGGCTCTGGGGACCCGACAGCACGTGTATTCCCAGGTGCTGCTGGAACTGCTGAACTCCGCCCCTTGTTAGCAAACGCGCTCTGTCCGGAAAGCGCGGCTGCCATCCTGGCCCAGCTACATGCTACAGTTGCATACTTAATGAGGAGAATGACTCAAATGAAGAAGCTGAGATGGAGTTCGTCCGGCTCAAGAAGCCAACACGAGGCCTGAACAGCTCTTAGCTAAGAAAGAGAGAGGCAGTTTAAGCCAACGAAAAACAGGTTATCACATCCCCCACTTGTGTTTCGGGGATTTAAATGACTGATTCCTTAGTTACAGCGAGAGGGTTATATTGAGTTTTAAGATACAGAAGCTCAACGGAAGCGACGCACTGTTTTATAAAACTAATTAACTAATTGAATGCACAAGGCCCGAACATTAAACCCAACGAGAGGGGGAGAAGACGAGCTGCTAATCCGGTTATTAAAGCAGTTAGCCACGGATTTCAGTTAAACACGTTTCAGCTGCCGTGGGGTGTTACTTTTTTTCATTCCCGCTGGCGTTTATTTAGATTTTTCCAAACTCTTTGAAGGGTATTTTGTATGCCTTTAGACTTGTTAGCATAAAAACGGCAACTTCCCCCAGAGCAGCGCAGAAAGCTTCTTTGGAGAGGAACAGCAAGGCTAGGCCATGGCGGTTTTCAAGAACAGCTTTAGCTAGACTCAACCTGGGCCCGTAGTGTGTTTACAGCCGACTGGAGATTCTTTAACTTAGCCTTTACTTGCTGAGCTAGGGACCCTAGTCCAGCTTCTCCTTGGATCAAAGCGGCTGTGCCGATTGCTGCCGCCCCAGCCACACTGAGGCCAGCTGAAAGGGACACTAGGAGTGGGGCAGCCCGGCGGAGCCTGCGGTGGAATTCAGGTGGGGAATAAGGAGTTGTTTCTCTGGTTCGCGGTACACACAGACCTGGCGGAGGATGTGAACTAACCCGCACAGGAGACGTTTGGGGCTAGTTTCACTGATACAGCGGGTGAGGCCCGAGGTGCCAGCCAAAGTATTATTGGGTGCCTGGAAGGAGACTGAAGGGTTTAGGGAAGTCAGCAGAGTCTGGCTGCAGGTGGCCTGGAGACGGGAAGCAGACAGGTGGTAACTGTTACTACCTATTACTAACTATTAGTCACTAGGCAGGAGGGGTTTCTGAGCCGTTTTTAGTGTGCGAGAATGGGACGGGCACTGACAAGAAAGAGGCCGGGGTTAAATTGGACCTTAATTTCCAATTCGACCTAATAGGAAGCTTTTGCCCTTAGGTGTAACTAACAATCTCGGGCCAGTTTAGGCTGAGTAACGTTAAGAAGGTGATGCCCCCCCCCAGGATGGATGGTAAGCTCGGCTGGAGGTGTTGATGCTGAGCCGGGCTGGGGGAGTTTGAACTGGCGATTGGATAGTTGGCCCAATAGGGCTGATTTTATTTGGGTGCGGGTGGAACATGGGGTCTCCTCGGTTAGGGGACCAATAGGTGTAGGAGGGCTTTAGGGGATTCGGACCTTCTTTTGAATGGTAAACGTAGTTTTGAGATTAAACCCTTTGATACAGAGATGCAGTTCCCATGTTATACCATAGTACCACTGCAGTGAGTTGGGGTTCACGGACAGTTATAGCTGTGGGATTACAGGCTTTCATAGTACTCGGTTTAGGACTAGAGGTTGGAGCTATGGAAACAGTTGGGGGCCGAATTGCCCCCCACCCCCACCCCGGTAAGTAGCCAAGGTTACACATGACCAAGAAGGGCAGAAACACCAGTGTGTGGTGCCGGAAGGGTTAAGTTTGGGCACAGAGCGAGCTTATTGGCCTGTTGAACTGGGCTCGCAGACCCTTGGCCACCCCGAGGCCACGGGGTTTAGTTTTTTAGACAAAGACGCCAGTGGGTGTTGCCTTGGCCCCAAGGTTTGAGTGAGCACCCTTTAGCAACTCCCTGATTTTTACGGACAAACAGGTAAAATGGTTCTGAGATATTTGGGAGGGCTAAAGCCGGGGCCTTTGTGAGTGCCTTTATTAAGTTTTGGAAGGCCTGCTTTTTCAGGTTGGTCTAAACTAAAAAGTCATTTTTTTCCTATAGCGGTGTACAGAGGCTTGGCAATTTCCACAAACCCAGATTTTTACAGCCCCCATTCGGCAGGCAGGGTTAGGGTGGTTTTCAGGACAGGTAGAGGTGCTCGTTGGAGTCTCTTTTTTGCACCCCTCAGCGTCTGCGTTTACTTCACTTCCGGTGTGTTTGAACCCTGCGGCAAGGTTAACAAGTCCCGCTCCTGCCTACCGGGGCAAGCTTTGCTGGTTCTCGAGGGAACGGCTGGGCTTTGGGAGCAAAACACAAATGGACAAAGAAACTGTACTGGAGGTACTTTCCTTCCAGGTGATGTTTGCAAGTGGTTGGCCTGTCGCAAAAGAAGTGAGGATAAAGGGTAGGAGGGGCAGAGGGCTGAACGACCGGGAACAGACAAGGAAAGTGGGCAAAAGAACGAGTCTGATGGCTGCACCCGACGTAGGTGCAGTTTTAAGGGCGTGACCCGGGCTTGGGGAACCCATGTTTTTTGCTGTGTTCTGCTGGCCTTCTTGATGCGGGAGTGATGAATTTAAGCAGGAATGCCGTTCACTTTTAAGGCTGTGGGTGTAAGGATGACAATATGAGGTTCTTTTTAAGCAGGAATGAGTTTTTTCTTCTGGAACTTTTTAACATGCACCAGGTTACTAGGACGGAAGGGGTGGCAGGGTCCTGTTAGATTAGGAGCTGGATTAGTGGCTGGATAAGATCTTGAACCTGTCGACACACTGCAAGTGCTGTAACAAGTTAGCCTGGGATATTTCTGCTAACTGGGTATCCCTTAGTTTAGGGAAAACAGGTGGGACCCTTTTATACGTGATTTTAAAAGGAGAGAATCCCGAGGTGCGTCTAAGCCTAACCAGGGCTGAGGGAAGGAGGCTTATTCAGTTTTTACCGGTTTCCAGGATTAATTTTGTAAGAGTACTTTTTAAGGTATGATTTATGCATTTTACCTGTTGCGTTTAGGGCTGATAGCCACAAGGCAGTTTTTGCTGAATATTTAACGCCTTGCTGACCGACAGCTATAGACGAGGGGAGGCTGGCCGGTCACTAGACCCAATGACAACAGGCAGTTTACAACGAGGGATGATTTTGTTGAGTAAGAACTTAACTACGGTAGTGGCAGTTTTATTTTCGGTGGCAAAAGCCTCAGTTTATCCGGAAAAGGTGTTAATAACACCAAGAGCTACTTCTACCCGCCCGGTGTGGCTTTACTTGGGTTAAATTAACTTCCCACCTCTCTCCTGGGCTACCTTCTCGAGACGATGGCCCAACCCAGGCTTCGGGCCTTGCCTGGCGTTCACCTGCACACCAGCCGGGCATTGGGGGCCACTTGGCTAGTTACGTTCTGGAGGTGTGGAGTTTTAAAATGGCTTCTTACAAGTTGGGCTAACTTGGCTTCCTCCAAGTGGGTGGAAGAAGAGGCGGCTGATCGAGGCCTCTCTGAGGGCCCGGGGCAAAAGATTCTGGAGTTTGGGAGGATTCACTGTTGATCCTGATTTTTCCTGGCCTGCAGATTCCACGCCTGCTTTTTCATTTTAGAGGAGTGTGTTGGGTGGTTGGGTAAATCAGGCTGTGGGAAAGAGACGGCTGGAAGTCGAGGTAGTGGGGTAACCCGGAGCGTGGCAACTTTAGGGGCGGCACAGTCTGGCTTTTGGGGTTGAGTGAGGGCAATTAACTCAGCCTCCTGCGCCGAGGGACCCGCTCACAGTGCCTGGCCTGCAGTGCAGGGGTTTTCTACCCCCTGCTTCAGGAAACTGCTACCGTTTGTAAACACGGGGGCATTTGCCTTTTTTTTTTTTTTTTTTTTTTTTGAGACGGAGTTTCGCTCTTGTTACCCAGGCTGGAGTGCAATGGCACGATCTCGGCTCACCACAACCTCCGCCTCCTGGGCTCAGGCAATTCTCCTGCCTCAGCCTCCTGAGTAGCTGGGATTACAGGCACGTGCCACCATGCCCAGCTAATTTTTTGTATTTTTAGTAGAGACGGGGTTTCACCATGTTGGCCTGGATGGTCTCGATCTCTTGGCCTCGTGATCCACCCGCCTCGGCCTCCCAAAGTGCTGGGATTACAGGCTTGAGCCACCGCGCCCGGCACGTTTGCCTTTTTTAAAGGAGTGTTCTGGAGATGAGGTTCACCTGTTTCTGTGGTTTTTAGCAGTTCCTGGCAGTTATGGATGGGGTGGTGAAGTCTGGATTAGGGAGTAGGGTAGCTGGATTTAAACACCTTGTGGGGGAGAAAGTTAACCGGGGCTGATTTAGCAGCAGACTCTGATGTTGCAGGATGCAGGCATCAGACATTTATTCACCAGGAGCGCCCCGCGGCAGTGGTTTTCCAGTGTATGGTGCCGGAAGGGTTAAGTTTTGGCACAGAGCGAGCTTATTGGCCTGATGAAGGCTCGCAGACCCTTGGCCACCCCGAGGCCACGGGGTTTAGCTTTTTAGACAAAGACGCCAGTGGGCGTTGCCTTGGCCCTAAGGTTTGAGTGAGCACCCTTTGGCAACTCCCTGATTTTTACGGACAAACAGGTAAAATGGTTCTGAGATATTTGGGAGGGCTAAAGCCGGGGCCTTTGTGAGTGCCTTTATTAAGTTTTGGAAGGCCTGCTTTTTCATGTTGGTTTAAACTAAAAAGTCATTTTTTTTCCTGTAGCGGTGTACAGAGGCTTGGCAATTTCCACAAACCCAGATATTTGCAGGCAGCAGTATTTTACAGCCCCCAAGAATTTAAATACCTGTTTTTTGGTGGTAGGGGTGGGGATTTGTAAGATGGCCTCCTTTTGAGCATTGGTGAGTGCTTTTTTTTCTGGTTTAATTTATATTTTAGATAGGAGGCTTTGGAAAGACAAAGCTGGCTCTTTTTGGCTAGGACCCGATACTTACACTTTTGAAGGAGGTCAAATAAGTTTTCAGTATGTTGCAGGCAGCTTTGGCAGTCTTAGTAGCCAATAATAAATGATTAACCTACTCGAGTAGGGTACAGTTGGGATGGCTGGCTTGAAATGTCACCAGGTTTTGCCGAAGGGCCTTTTTAAAAAGAGTTGGAGAATTTTTAAAACACTGGGGCAACCGAGTTTACGTTAATTGGGTTGTGTTTTTTGAACCAGGGTTTATTTGAAAGCAAAAATGGGTTGGCTCTTAGCCAAAGGAATGGCAAAGAAAGGGTTTTTTAAGTTTAGGATAGTGTACATGGTGTGCTTTAGTGGGAGAAAGCTGAACAGTGTGTAGGGGTTAGGGACAGTTGGATGGACTGTGACTGTCCGTTTGTTAACTTTCCACAGGTTCTTTACAGGCCGGTAATCCTCTGTCCCGGGTTTTTGAACTGGCAGAAATGGAGTGTTTTGAGCAGGCTGGCAAGGCGTAAGCATATCGGCTTGTAATAGCTGTTGAGTGGGATTGATTGTTGTTTTTAACCCGCTGACTTAGAGGATATTGTCTGACCCGAACAGCCAAGGCATCAGCCAGAAGCCTTACAGCCACTGGGAGATGGTATTTTGCCAGTCCCGGGGGTTTGATTTTTGCCTAAACCCAGGGAAAAAGAGCTTGTAGATTTGGTAGGAGAGGGTCAGTTGTGTTTTTTTTCTGGGGAGGGGGTGAAGACAAGACTAAAAGATATTCTTTTGACAGGGGAGCAGTTGGCAGGAGCTGAGCAGGAGGGGCTTTGTGGTTTTTAACTTGAGATGAGTTTGTGGAGCTGAGAAGGAGATGGATGCCTGCAGCTTCCGGAGCAGGTTATGCCTAAGAAGCAGGAAAGGGCATTTGGAACTACCAGAAATGAATGGGTTTCTTTTTTTTGACCTAAGTTTACTTTACGTGAATGGGTGACAGGATCTTTCTGAATAGCTTTAGTAGCTTCTTGTACAGCCATTTTTTTTGTTAGAAACACTGCCCAGGCCCTGAGCTCGGAGGGGGACATCATCTTTAGACAGAGCCCCCAAGGAACATTCAGTTTTGGCGTGGATGCTCGAGCTGCCATCAGCCACGTCACATCCCAGGTGAGGAGGCTGAATTCTGCTCCCTTGCCTAGGGAGGCAGTTTTTAACAACCTTTAGTGAAGGTGCCCCGTGTGGAATGTCTCAGGAGATGGCAGGAGACGAGATCCTGGGAAGCCAATGGCACAGCCCTTATTTTGGCGGTGTGTGTGTAATCGGTCAGCATGCATTGACTATTGTAAACAAATGTTTGCCTCGTGGTGAAAGGCCAGTGTTCATGTCTAAGCTCAGCATGGCTCTGTCGCTGCAGTCTCTCAGGCTCCAGGCCTCCCCACCTTAGGGCTCTGCCCCAGATGGCAAATGGAGGGAGAGACAGTGGAGAATTATGCAGGAGGTTTTTCTACTTATGGGCCAGACCCATAAGTAGAAAGGTCATTCCTGCCTGCATTCTTATCAGATGACCCCACCTAGCTGCAAGGGAGGTTGGGAAATGGAGTTTTAGCTGTATGTCCAGGAAGAAAAGGAAATGCAGTTTGGTAAATATATAGCAGCCATTGTAGATCTATTGACTCATCCACAGCTGTCCATTTGTTCATCCATGGACATGTTCATGTCCATTCAGCATGGATGGATTGTGTCTCTGCTGTGTGCCAGGCTCTGTGACGTGCATTGGGGGTGCAAGGGTGACTCTGTCCCCATCTTCAAGGAGTGTTAAATCTAGTGGGCTTTTAGGGTTGGATAAGTTCAAGTTCATCTCCCAGTTTCACTGTTAACTAGCTGTGTAACCTTGGGTGAATCACTGAACCTCACCGAGCCTCAGTTTGCCAGCTGGGAAACGGGATGGTAACAACAAGCCAGCAAAGCAGGGTTGAGGGTTACATGAGACAGTCACTGTGAACCTAGTAGCACAGTGCCTGGTTCATAGTCAAGTAGAAGGTGGCCTTGCTGTGGGCTGCATGAGCAGGCACCATGGCAGGGAATAGGGGATCCCAGAGTGGTCTTCCCAGCGCCCCCATCCAGGCCTTCACTTCCTAAGCATCCGTTTTCAGGAGTTGAGTCTAAGAAAGATTTAGGGCTGAGGAGTATTGAAGGAGGACAGAAGTTTCTGGCTTGAGCTTTGGGCCTACTCTGGGATGCATTTGCCCAGCAGCATCTCCGGGGGTTCCGTGTCTCCCTCTCTGTTCCTTCTGACCCTTTAACTCCTGCAACAGGTCTCGGTCCGGCTGAACAGATCTGACTCCGACATCCCCACAGACCCACAGTTCCTCCATATTCCGGGCATGGACGTTGCTCCCTCGGGGGATGACGCTGACTCGCCTGCCAAGGGTTGTCTGTGAGCAGCCGGCCTGCTGGGCGACGGGCCGAAGGAAGGCAGGATGCGGGCCGGGGGAGGGAGCCCACACACGCAGCGTCGCGCTTGGCCAGACAGCCCCTGCAGAACCAAGGACAGATGGCAGGGGGTTTGCAATCCATCATTTGGAAGTGATTGTCCAGGTGAGAAGAGTTTTTAGCCCCCAGGGGAGGGGGATGAAGGATCAGATTTCACTCTAGAAAACGGACAGAAACAAAGTTTTCCTCCAAACTCTGCCCTGTATTGGGCTTGGGAGAAGCTGTGTAATGCTTCAGGAGGGCTTTACTGACCAGGGGTATTTTGCTCAGTGTGGAAGCACAGAGGTGGGCAAAGACATCCAGATGGAAGCCCTCAGGGCCAGGGCCCCAGACAGCCCTGCCCACCCCCGCCCCCCCACCACGATGTCTGTGGCTTCCTTGAGCAGGGTGTGCGTGGTGTTTGCACAGGAATTAGGCAGTGGCTAATTTAGGACGAGGAGGTGTAAATAGGAAATCTCGACAGCGATGAGGCCCTCAGATGTGGAGCAGACCCTTAATTTGATAGCAATAAAAAAATTAATTAGAGGTGGGGTCTCACTATGTTGCCCAGGCTGGTTTTAAACTCTTGGCCTCAAGCTGTCTTCCTGCTTCAACCTTCCAAAATGCTGAGATTACAGGCATGAGCCACTTTACCTAGCCTGAGAAATTTCAAGATAAATTTCTGTTGAGACAGGATCTCACTGTTTCCCGGGCTGGAGTGCAGTGACGTAATCAGGCTTACTTCAGCCTTGACCGTCTGGGGTCAATCCATCCTCCCACCTCAGTCTCCCGAGTAGCTGGGACCACAGGCATGTGCCACAACACCCAGCTAGTTTTTGTATTTTTTCTCTTTTTGGCAGAGACGGGGTCTTGCTATGTTGCCCAGGCTGGTCTTGAACTCCTGGCCTCATGTGATGCTCCTCCCTCAGCCTCCCAAGGTGCTGGAATTCTAGGCATGAGCCACTGCGTCCAGCCCTGATAAAGGTTTTTAAACACCTGGTGTGCATTCCCTGTGTGTGGGGTTTTAGGAACTTGAATGGAGAGATCTGCTTGTTCTCAGAGGCACTAGCTCTCACGGGTTGATGTCCCTGAAGTCAGGATGTATCTACACATGGACACAGGTCACCGTTGGACTAGCAACCTTTTGCTTTTGTGGCATTTCCTAAGATCACAGCCCATCCGAGCGATGCTAGCCTCTTAGATTGGAGGAAGCGCTGTCACATGAACCGTTTGCTCTAGGAGCTGACATCTGCGGAGTGATTCCGTGGCAGGATCTGTTCTAAACCCTCTTGGTGGATTATCTTGTGGATACCTCTCGATGTTGTTGTGGGGGATGTGGAGCACTGTGGTACCATTTTGGGGGTGTGGCTCTGAGACAGGTGGCGTGACTTGCCCAAGATTATGGGGCTCACGAGTGAAAGATTTTGGATGGGAACTCAGGCATCTGGCTTCAGAGCTCATGAGAGTCCCCGAATCGTTGGGGAGTGGGGGTGGGTTCCCCAGAAGCTTGGATGCTGGGTCATCTAACGGGTTCAAACATTAATTTTTTTTTTTTTTTTTTTTTGAGATGGAGTTTCGCTCTTATTGCCCAGGCTGGAGTGCAATGGCACAATCTCAGCTCACCACAATCTCTGCCTCCTGGGTTCAAGCGATTCTCCTGCCTCAGCCTCCTGAGCAGCTGGGATTACAGGCATGCGCCACCACACCCAACTAATTTTTGTATTTTTAGTAGAGACGGGGTTTCTCCATGTTAGTCAGGCTGGTCTCAAACTCTCGACCTCCGGTGATCTGTCCACCTTGGCCTCCCAAAGTCCTGGGATTACAGGCATGAGCCACTGTGCTCGGCCTTCTCTGTCTTTTTCAGCTTAATAGCTCATTTCATATTAGCACTGGATAATATTCCATTGTCTGGATGTATTGTATTTTATTTATCAGCTCATCTATGGAGGCACCAGGCATTCTTTTAAAAGCTTTTCAGGCCGGGCATGGTGGCTCACGCCTGTAATCACAGCACTTTGGGAGGCCGAGGCTGGCAGATCACCTGAGGTCGGGAGTTTGAGACCAGCCTGGGCAATATAGTGAAACCCCAGCTCTACTAAAAATACAAAAAAAAATTAGGTGGGCATCGTGGCAGGCTCCTGTAATCCCAGCTACTCAGGAGGCTGAGGCAGGAGAATCCCTTGAACCTGGGAGGTGGAGGTTGAAGTGAGCCAAGATTACACCCTTGAACTGCAGCCTGGGTGACACAGCAAGACTCTGGGGGTGGTGGAGTGGCGGGGGGAGGGGGTAGAAAAAAGCTTTGCATGTGATTGTAATGCACAGGCTGGATTGAGAACCACGGGCCTAAACCCACTTTGCAGATGAGGAGACTGAGGCCCAGATCAGGAAAGGGAGGGACTCAGGTTTCGCTGAGCTGGTGGAGCCTTGGGCCCCTCTCCCACTCCCCACCACTACCGTCAATACCTTTGTTGGGCTCAGCCACATGTTCACCCCAGCCTGACCGCTTGGGCACCCAGATGCCATCCCCTTCGATCCCAGAAGTTCTGGGTCCTCTGGTTCCTGGCAGGCACTCTCTAGGGCCTCCTTTTCTGTGGAGGAGTTACAAAGATGTTCTCTGCTTCCCCCACCAGCCTCCTTCAGGCACCAGCACAAGTTTTAGAGCTAGGTAGACTCAGGTGGCCTATGTGACCCTCTCAGAGCCTCAGTTTCCCCATTTCACAATAAGAACTCCCATTTCACCTGTGGTGGAAAGGACACGATGAGACTGTACTCCTGGGCCAGGAGCTGGGGCCAGGGTAGGCTAACTCCCCCTTCATCCCTCTGTCTGTTTCTCTTCCTGATTGTGTGCTGTGTACCATGGTTGGTGAGCACTCAAAGCTGGAGTGGCTCAGGAGGGCTTCCTGGAGGAGGAAGCAGCCCTCCCCCACATCCAGGATCCCAGAGGCCCTTCCTGTCCTTCCCCTGCCTCCCTGCAGGTGCAGGCAGCTGCCAAGCACTAGAGTGTACAGCCTTGCTGGGTCCCTATCTGTGCAAATGTCCGGCTGGGAGCTGGTTCTGCTGGAGGTCGACGCCAGCCAGGACACTCGGAGAAGCAGCCGGGGCTGGGGTGTGAGTGTCCCTCTCCACCAGGCCGTCCTCAGTGCGGCCAGGGCTGTTTGGATGCAGCTGTCTGGAAAGATCACCTCAGCAAGGTAACGGTCCCCAGGTGGCCTGCGACGGGATGGGGAGACCACAGAGGGCAAAAGGCACGTGTCCTGGGACATGGGAAATCCTCACTCAGAGGCCCCTCTCTGTCGCTCTGAGACCACGCTGACATCAGCCCCATCGGTGCCGCTGAGGGCGTGAGAAGCAGATGGCATTCAGTTTTCCACTTTTACCCTTTATTTTTTTTTTTGTATTGTTATGAGAGCATTCATTGTAGATGGCTCAAAGGATGACGTATAAAGGGCAGGGCTCCGTGGGTCACAGCCCAGGGCTTTGGGAGGCTGAGGCAGGAGGATTGCTTGAGTTCAGGAGTTGAAGAGCAGCTTATGCAACATAGCAAGACCCTATCTCTACAAAAAAAAAAAAAAATTAGCTAGATGTGGTAGGGTGTACCTGTAGTCCCAGCTACTCATGAGGCTGAGGTGGGAGGATTGCTTGAACTCAGGAATTCAAGCCTGGACGACATAGTGAGATCCCATCTGTACAAAAAAAAGGTTTTTAAATAGCCAGATGTGGTGGCATGTACCTGTAATCCCAGCTACTTGGAAGGCTGAGGTGAGACGATTGCTGAACTTCGGTGTTGGGGGCTGCAGTGAGCTATGATTGCACCACTACCTTCCAGCCTGGGCAACAGAGTGGAACGAGCTTGTCTCTAAAATAGTAATAATGTAAGAAGGAATGAAACAAAATCACTAGTGACCCCCAAAAATGTGCGTCTCCATCTGGTTTCATGTGTGACTATATATTTACATACTGATGTGTCCAGTATAGCTGGGCGCTCAGGAGCCAGGGGTCCAGGGTTGAGCACTTGGGTTCAATTCCCAGCTCTGCCACTGCTGCCTCTGGGACTGCTCTCCCTTCTGTGCCTCAGTTTCTCCATCTGCTTCCTGGGGTGGATGAACTCAGCGCTGCATGTGAGTTCCAAGCCAGGGCCAGTGGGCATGCTCAGTGGCTACCCTCTTTGCTGCGGCCGTCATGGGAAACGCCAAACTGTTTTCTGCTACTGTGCTCTCAGTGCTCAGACCCGATATTTCTGTGACCAGGGGCGGGGGGTCTTTTTCCCCATCAAGCAATTCTCTGGTGGGCACTAACTGGTTGTCCTACAAATTAACTCAGTTCTGACCCTGTATACCTCAAGGTGGCATCAGCTCCCTCGGGTTCTATGTGCGAGACTTCCCACAACTGTAAACGCCATTCCCCTCAGCCTCGCTTGCAGCTGGATCCACAGGCTCGCCACCACACCTGGCTAAATTTTTGTACTTTTTTGTAGGAACAGGATCTTGGTATGTTGCCCAGGCTGGTCTTGAACTCCTGGCCTGAAGCAGTTTTCCTGCCTTAGCCTCCCAACGTGCCAGGACTACAGGCATGAGCCACGTTTTATACATTATTATACATTATTACTTGTAGATTATTATAACTCTTGATGTTATCTACCATGAATGCTCCCATCACAGTGGAAGAACCTAGCTTCAGCTGCCCATTGTGCTTAGTGAGCACTCAAGAGCTGGAGGGGCTCAGGAGGGCTTCCTGGAGGAGGGGATCCTCCCCCACACTCAGGTTCCTATAGACCCTTCCTGTCCACGCTCTGCTTCTGAGTTCTCCCCTGCCTCCTGACCAACTGGCTATAACTTGGAGGTCCCTATGACCTCCTCGCATCTTGTGTCTGTTCATTTGCAAAAGTGACTCACAGCACTCAGGGAAACCTTTTATTTATATTTATTCATTGCTTATGGAGCCTGTGATTGGAGAACAGCCAGATGGAAGAGAGTATAGGGCAAGGTAATGGGAGAAGGGGTGCTGGGCTTCCCTGCCCTCTCTGGGCTCAGCATCCTCTGTGCGTTCAGCCCAGAAACACTCTGTGAGCCCCATGGTTCAGGGATTTCTATGGTGGCTGCATCACATAGGCACAACTGCCTGTTAACTCCATCTCCAGCCGCTTTCCCCTTCTCAGGATGAAAGTTCCAAGCTCTAATCATGGCTTGGTCTTTCTGTTGACAAGTCCTATTCAGGATCCCACCAAGAATCACCTCATTAGAACCAAAGATGCTCCTGTCAACAAAAGGGACTTCCTACTTCGGAGGGATTAGGAGCTCTGTATCAAGGATTGGGGCAGAGACTAAGTATATATTTCCTGTTACATCACTATAGTATGCTGCTATTTTGAATACTGTACATTCTGATACAAATTGGGTCTCCATTAAATATTTCCTCTGTAATACGGGCGTAGTGGCTTATGCCTGTAATCCCAGCACTTTGAGAGGCTGAGGTGGGCTGATCACCTGAGGTCAGGAGTTCGAGACCAGCCTGATCAACATGGAGAAACCCCATCTCTACTAAAAATACAAAATTAGTCAAGCATGGTGGTGCATGCCTGTAATCCCTACTGCTCAGGAGGCTGAGGCAGGAGAATTACTTGAGTCCGGGAGGCAGAGGTTGCGGTCAGCCAAGATTGTGCCACTGTACTCCAGCCTGGGTGAGAGTCTTCCCCCACCTCCAAAACCACGCTCAGTATCAGTATGTCCGCTTGATTCCCCACTTCACAGGAGGAGAAACTGACGCTTAGAGAGGTTATGTCCTTGTCCCAGGTCATCCTGTTATTTGGAACCCGGGTTTGCCTGACCACAAAGCCTGATCTTAACCCTCTCACTTCACGGTCTAGGATTTGGCTGTCTTCCAAGGCACTACTGGACCAGAACACAGCATAGCTCAAGGCATCTGAGGAATGGAGGGGAGGCTGGGTCCTGACCTTGCAGAGCCAGGTGGCTGGCTGGGCAGTGATGCCCCGCCTCCTGACACTCATAGGAATGCTGAAGCAGAAGGAGACGCTTCGAGAGGGTGAGGGCCTGGGGAACGCCATGGGGCAGGGGCGAGCACTTTCTATGGAACTGCAGAGTAGACTCAGTCCACCCAAGTCCACTGATGTTCCAGTTCCAGCATCTCACACGTGTATGCGCAGTTTTAGATAAAGGAGGACAGATTATTCCCCTTTGTGAGGAATGAATATACACTCTGACAAAGAAAACCTGCTAACTAAAGACTGAATAGGGTTCCTTATGCAGGACTTGTCAGAGCCTTGAACATGATAAACAGACATTGTATATCTCCAGGAGGGAGAGTTGGGTGCACGATTTCCAAGCATATTTTATTTAGAATACTTTTAATTTTGACATAACATCAGACTTGTAGAAAAGTTGCAAGAATAGTACAAAGAATCCCACAGGCCCTTTGCCCAGATGCATCAGTTACTAACATTTTACATTTCGTTTATCATTCTCATATGCATATTCTTTCCATATGTACATATATTTATTCTATATATATTATTTTATTCCTGAATTGTGTTTTCGTAAGTTGCAGACACGATAATCCTTTTTTGGTTTATGAGACAGAGTTTTGCTCTTATCCAGCAGGCTGGAGTGCAATGGAGTGATCTCAGCTCACGGCAACCTCAGCTTCCTGGGTTCAAGTGATTCTGCTGCCTCAGCCTCCCAAGGAGCTCCGGTTACAGAAAAACAGCATCATACCTAGCAATTTTTTTTTTTTTTTGTATTTGTTTTTCCTTTTCTCTCTCCTTTTTTTTTTTTTTAAGAACACTTTTTTTTTTTTTTTTAATAGAGACCGGGATTTCAGCATGTTGGCCAGGCTGGTCTCAAACTCCTGGCCTGAAGTGATGCATTTGCCTCTGCTCCCAAAGTTCTGGGATTACAGGTGTGAGCCACCACGCCTGGCCGATACTTACATTTTGCGGGATACGGGGCAGTCATGCTGTGAAACAGCCTCCATCTGGGTCTCAGTGACACTTCCTGATGCCTGCATTCAAGGAAGCCTGTTGGTAGGACACCACAGACATGAGGCAGCCTCCTGTCAGATGGCACCTGCTGTCAGTTTGTCCAACGTTGGTGACATCAGCTTTGACCTCTTGATTAAGGTGGGGTCTGCCAGGTTTCTTGATTGTAAAGCTTTTCATTCTTTCCTTTGTAATAAGTAATTGTGATGAGATACTTGGAAGTATTCTGTGCTCTCCTTGAGTTGTGACCCTCCTAGGTTTAGCATCCAGTGATGATGCTTGTCTGAGTCTATAACTGCTATGATGATTGCCAAATGGGGATTTTTCTAATTTTTTTAAAAAATTTATTGCCTATAGGCCAGGTGTGGTGGCTCATGCCTGTAATCCCAGCACTTCGGGAGGCTGAGGCAGGAGGATCACTTGAGGCCAGGAGTTGACCAGCGTGGCCAACATGGTGAGACCCTGTTGCTACTGAAAAGACAAAAATTTGCCAGGCGTGGTGTTGCACACCTGTAGTTCCAGCTTTTCAGGAGGCAGAGGCATGAGAATCGTTTGAACACGGGAGGCGGAGTTTGCAGTGAGCCAAGATCACAGCACTGCACTCCAGCCTGGGTGACAGAGTGAGTCTCTGTCTCGAAAAATCATATTAATGTATTGCTCAGGGTAGAACGCTTTCCCTGCTCACTCCCTCTGCCCTTCCCTTCCCTTCTGTCTTAATCTGTCCTTGCATTGCTGTAACATACCTGAGACTGGGTCATTTATAAAGACATTGGCTCGTAGTTCTGCAGGCTGTACTGGAAGCGTGGTGCATCTGCTTCTGGAGGTGGGGGTTGGGGGATGGGCTGCCAGCATGTCACAGGCCAGAGCAGGATTAAGAGAAAGAAGGGTGTGCTGCTACACGCACTTAACCAGATCTCCCTGTCACAAGGACAGTCCCAAGGGGATGCTGCTCAACTGTCTGAGAAATCGGCTCCCAGTGATGCAGCCACCTCCCACCAGGCCCTGCCTCCCACCCTGGGGGTTACGATTCGACATGAGAGTTGTTGGGGACAGTGGTCCAAACTGTATCACCCTCCTCCTTTCCTTCCTTCCTTAACCTCAGTACGGACTCATGGATTCCTGTTTTATTCAGTAATCTGTAATGATCATGATTTATTTCAGTGCCCGATTTTTCTAGATTTGCCCCTTCGGAGTCCCTACAAGACGGCTCCTCTCCCACCCGCTCCACCTCAGCACTGAGAAAAGTTGAAATGTACGGCAAACACCCACGTGCCCCCCCCAAGCTGTTAGAATTGTTCACATTTTTACATTATTTTCTTTATCCCCTGTGCACTATTCACTGTCAGAGGCATGTAAACCAGAGCAACTCCATCTTGAATGGGAGCTGGGTGAAATGAGGCTGAGAACTACTGGGCTGCATGTTATATGTAAATTTTCAGTGCCTTAAAAGAAGTGGCACTCCAATATAAATTTTCTCAGCAAGGCAATTCACTTCTTTTTTTTTTTTTTTTTTTTTTTTTTTTTTTTTTTTGAGACGGAGTTTCGCTCTTGTTACCCAGGCTGGAGTGCAATGGCGCGATCTCGGCTCACCGCAACCTCCGCCTCCTGAGTTCAGGCAATTCTCCTGCCTCAGCCTCCTGAGTAGCTGGGATTATAGGCACGCGCCACCATGCCCAGCTAATTTTTTGTATTTTTAGTAGAGACGGGGTTTCACCGTGTTGACCAGGATGGTCTCGATCTCTTGACCTCGTGATCCACCCGCCTCGGCCTCCCAAAGTGCTGGGATTACAGGCTTGAGCCACCGCGCCTGGCCGGCAATTCACTTCTATGGAAGGTTTGGCTCACAGATGGAGCAATAGTGAGGGCACCGGTACTTAGTCCTGATGGAGGTAGCCTCAATTGCTACGTCATTCTCCTATTGGCTGGGGTTAGACTGCACAGACTAAGCTAATTCTGATTGGCTACTTTAAAGAGAGCAGGGGTACCAGCTGGAGTGGCGGGGTGGGTAGTTTGGTGGGAAGGACGGTTACTCTTCAGGTTAGAGCAGGTGACCAGGGATGACTCAGGTCAAAGCGGGTGACCAGGGGAACAGATGTGAACTACTGATTAGAACCGGCGGGAAAGTCGTTGATTGAAACTAGAGGCAAGGGAGCAAAGAGAACCAGGAAGTTAAACTTTAAACTGGAGAATTAGCGAATAAGAGAGCTGAACATACTGACATGTTGATTCTTTGAAGAGAGACTTGGAGTTCACTGTATCTGACATGCATTCCCAGAAGTTTAGGCTTTCTAAATCCCAGGATGAGACAGGAGGTCAGCACAAGATATAGACCACAAAGATCTTGCTGATAAAACAGGTTACAGTAAAGAAGCCGGCTAAATCCCACCAAAAACCAAGAGTGTGTCCTCTGGTCTTCCCCGTTACCGTGTTTCCATCAGTGTCATGACAGTTTACAGATGCCATGGCAACATCAGGAAGTTACGCTATATGGTCTAAAAAAGGGGAAGTTTGAGCCAGGTGTGGTGGCTCACGCCTGAAGTCTCAGCACTTTGGGAGGCTGAGGCAGGTGGATCACCTGAGGTCAGGAGTTCAAGACCAGCCTGGCCAACATGGAGAAACCCTGTCTCTACTGAAAACACAAAAAAATTAGCTGGGCGTGGTGGTGCATGCCTGTAATCCCAGATCCTCGGGAGGTTGAGGCAGGAGAATTGCTTAAACCTGGGAGGCGGAGGTTGCAGTGAGCCGAGATCACGCCACTGCATTCCAGCCTGGGCAGTGTTAGATACAGTGAACTCCAAGTTTCTCTTAAAGAATCAGTGTGTCAGTATGTTCAGCTCTCTTATTCTTTAATTCTCCATTTTAAAGTTTAACTTCTTGTAGTTTCAGTAAACAACCTTTCCCACCAGTTCTAATCAGTAGTTCACATCTGTTTCCCTGGTCCCTTACTCCTTTCTGACTCATCCTGGTCACCTTCCCTGGTCACCTGCTTTGACCTGAGTGCCTCCCCCTCCCCAGTCACCTGCCGTGAACTGTTCCATAACCATCCTTCCTGCAAAACTACTCATCCCAGCACTCTGGCTCATACCCCTGCTCTCTTTAAAATAGCCAAGCGGACTTAGCTTTGGCTGTGCAATCTAACCCTAGCCAATAGGGGAATGACACAGCCTTGTCCAGCTGCGCACTGGCCATTATTCCATCTGTGAGCCGCACCCTTCTATAGAAGTAAATTGCCTTGACTGGGCATGGTAGTTCTCGCCTGTAATTCCAGGACTTTGGGAGGCCAAGGTGGGTGAATCACGAGGTCAGGAGTTTGAGACCGTCCTGGCCAACACAACGAAAAACCCTGTCTTCTACTAAAAATACAGAAATTAGCTGGATGCGGTTGTGGGTACCTGTAATCCCAGCTACTTCAGAGGCCGAGGCTGGAGAATCGCCTATAACGTGGAGGCTGTGGCAATTGAGTGAGTTAATCCCATGAATGCCTGTGTAGGTGCTTAAGAAGCGCTTGCTGTGATGAAGATGAGAAAGATGATGCTGATGGTGTGACAGTGACCATCATCATCATCATCACCTCTGGGTCACATGCAAGAGTGTGGGTGACTTGCCCAAGGTCACCTAGCAAGCAAGCAGCGAAACAGGGTCTCAGACTTGGCACCCAGATCCTTCCTCAAGGGGCCCTCCTGCCTTGGAGGAACCCACATAGGGCCATGCCCTGGCCACTGTCACTTGGCATGAAGGTGCCCTGCCTGGCTGGCCCTCCTTCTCCAAGAGCCACAGAGCGTGTTCCAGAGCCAGGTGCCAATGCTGCTTTTATAACCTCCTGTTTCAGATTACCCAGCACCCCCTGCCCCAGTCCACTCTGCAGTGGGAGGAGGGGGCAGTTCCCGGGGGCTCAGGGCCAGCATGTCACCTCTCCTGCAAAGGCTCTCAGCTCTGTACCCCACAGGCGAGTGGACTGAATACTCCGTGCCCCTGACTTCATCTAAACCCTTTCCCGGACTCGGGGTCAGGTGACAAGGAGCCCC